CCCCCCCCCCCCGCATTCAATCCTCCTCTCGTCACCCCCCCCCCCACCTTGTCCCGTGCGCCTCCGCTCCCATCTGGGCAGACGTGAGCCCCTGGGCTGGAGTTGGAGTCATTCTTGGCTCGGGGCGAGGGTATGTATTCACCGTCTCGGCGGAGTCTGAATCCACTGGTGGCAAGTGGGCTCGGATCGTCCCCGGGCCTGCGCCCTGATCCTGCGTGGCCTGGGCGGAGAGTCCAAGGCAGTCCAGGCCCAGCCTTGGGCCCCGCGCGTTCGCAAGACCGGGGGCCCCTCTCCCTGCGCGGGTGGCGGACACGCGGGACCCGGGGGCGGCCACCGAGAGCCTGACGACGGACGCATGTTTTGCAGACAATACTGACACTCGGCCTGTCCACCTCCCAGTTGCTGTGATAATAAAACATGATGATGTCTGTAAAAGCATGAAGACTTGGAGAGGTTCCAGTGGGCGTGCGATTTTCTTTCGCGGCTTTCTCTGCCTCTTGCCTCTCCAAGCTGAATTCGGAAAATCTGGGATTCTCAAGGTCAAAATATATGATCTGAATCGGTGAAATCTCATACTGCTGCCACATAGGTCTTTGCAAAAACAATTGGCTCCAGCCCTCCAAGATCCAGGATAAGAAATTATAAATAGAAACGATGTGAAAACCGAGATTTTTTTTTTTTCTCCCTCTACTTCTTCAGGTTTTAAAATGGTGGTATGTTTTTACTGAGGGAGGGAAAATGCAGCAAGTAAAAACCAAACGAAAACAATACAAAAAAAAAAACATTCTCCTGTGCCAAAATCCCGAATATTCAATGTAACCCCTGAGCACGGTTGAGGACACGAAATAAAGACATGGTGAGCCAGGAGCCTGCTACATTTGTTTTTCAGAAAACCTAAAAAGCCGTCATGGCAGAGAGGCCCAAGCTCCACTATCCCAACGGAAGAGGCCGGATGGAATCTATTAGATGGCTTTTAGCTGCCGCTGGAGTCGAGGTACGCTACGCGCTGTTTCTTTACAGATTTGTCACACAACTTGGAGACCTCTGAGGGAACAGGAAGTTTCCGTTCAGTCCTAGTCCTCTTTCACTAAAGTCACAGACTTTGGGACAGAAGATTCCATCCCGGAAGGGATTTTTCTTGATAAGTAGAATGTCATTGATGGACTATTTTCCTTTAGATTTTTACTTCATTATTGGCTTCTGAACTACCGCCAGCAAATATATTATTAATGAAAAAGGAAATTCACCTGAAATTTTACCCGTTATTCTGAGAACTTTTATTAGCTGTACAGTCTCTGGGTAAATTTTCTGTTTACTTCAATGATTTCAAACTGGCAGCTTTGGTATCTTGCCTACAAGTGTGCTCGCATCTGTTTTTGTTTTTGTTCTCTTCTTTTAGTTTCTTTTGGCAATTGTCAAACACAAACAAACAGAGAGAACATTGCCATGAATTCTCTGCACTTATCACCGACTTCAGCAATCATCAGCTTGCTGCTAATCTTACTTCATCCATCACTCCCCTCCACTTGTTTTGTGGGAGTATTTGAAAGCAAAATCCAAGCAACGTCCCATTTCATTTGGGAGTGCTGCAATATTTATCTCTAGCAGATGAGGATTTTAAAATATAACAATACCACTATCACAGCCAATGAAATTAACAATTCTTATTACCCTCTAACACTTTATATAAGTTTTATATTGGGGAATAATTTCAGACTCAGAAAAATCATTAAACAGTGCAGACTCCCTCACCCAGTGTCCCCTGTTGATAACATCTTACATAACCATGCCATCTTAAGAAATTAGCATTGGCACATGACTAACTAACAGATTTTATTCAGATTTCACTAGTTTTTCCACTAATGTCCTTTTACCATTCCAGGATCCAGCATTATATGTAGTCATCATGTATCCTTCGTTGCCCTCAATCTATGACAGTTTCTTAGTCTTTATTTTGCTGTGTTGACAGTTTTGAAAAGTACCCATCAGATTAGCTGGGATTATGGGCTTGAGGGAAGATCGCTATAGAAGTAAAGGGTTCTTCTTATCAAGTCATATCAGGGGTTGCAGGATATCAACGTGAGTTATTATCCCTGGTGATGGTAACCTTGATCATGTGGTTAAGATAGTGTCTGCCAGATTCCTCCAGTGCAAAATTACTATTTTCCCCTGTATTCTTCGGAAGTAATCATGAAGTCCAGCCCACCTATTCAAAGTGATGGGAATTAAGTTATACCTCCTGGAGAAGGGAGTATCTACATTTAGAATTTTTATATAAGGAAGTTATGCTCCTATAACCTAAATCACCTAATTAGGATTTTTCACCTGACCTCTCTTTTGTTCACAGCATGTCCTTACTTTCTGACCCCACAAAACAAAACACCCTAGGCTTATCTTGCATCTTCCTGTCCTATCCCTAGGATCAAGAATTTCTCCATGGAGTCCTGGTCCCTTTTAATAGAAAACGGTGTTGGCAGCCAAGATCTGAGTGCCAGGTGTCTGCATTTGTTTCTAGTGCCATTTATTAATGGAAGAAACTGTTCTCTAGAATTTCTCCCATCCTGAATTTGGCTTATTTACCCTCGGGTGTTATCTTGAGGTGACATGGGAAAGTGAGGCCACCCTCATGGTAACCTGCTCTTCTCTATTATAAACTGCTCATTGGACCCGGAGCTGCACCCAGATCCAGGTTCCTTTTTTTTCTATCGTTCTTTATTTTTGCCAGACTACATCAGAGGAGATGCTATGAACATACTTCTATTGTCCCACATCAGGGGCTGCTTGTTTTCTGACTGTCTCGTTTTAGTGACGCAGAGCTTGATTAGTGCGTTCCTGTGACGCCAGCCCAACCCAGCATGAGAGTTCCCCCATTCATTATCCTTTCTTTATTTTTTTATTTTTATTTTTGAGTTGGAGTCTCACTCTGTCGCCCAGACTGGAGTGCAGTGGCCCCTCCCAGCCACCGCAGCCTCGAACTGCTGGACTCCGGTGATCTTTCCGCCTCAGCCTTCCAAGGAGCTGGAACTACAGGCGCGCACTACCCTGCCCGGCTAACATCATCCTTTCAACTAGTGGCTTTAGAAGCTATTGATTACCATTGTTGTCAGGGATCGCAAAATGGCGATCTTTCTGTCGTTTCATCTACATTTACTAACTGTGAGTCTTTTTTGTTTGTTTGTTTTTGAAAAGAGGATAACACGACATTATTTTATGAGACCAGCATTACACTGATACCAAAGCCAGACAAATAAATTAAGAAAGAACTACAGAACAATATCGGTCATATACATACACACAAACATCCTCATCAAAATATTAGGTACTGAATCCAGTCATACATTAATGGGAACCTTCACCATGACCATGTAATACACCTTCTAGTGAATTATTGTCACTCATTAACTGTTTAATTACTTTAAAGTGCAGTTCACCCCCCATTCCTGTGCTAGTTTCTTCCTATTCATCAATAGCTTTTTAAAGCTTGACACAGCTATTCTAGTGAAACATGGCACACAGTTTGAAATGTGTGCCCAGGAATTAAAAGTCAGAATCATTTGGAAGGACATATTTATTTTTAAAATATTTTTTCTTTTTATTTTATTTTTTTGATTTGGAGTCTCTGTTGCCCAGGCTGGAGTGCAGTGGCATGCTCACGGCCACCATAGCCTTGACCTGCTGGGCTCAGGTGATCCTTCTGCCTCCACCTTCCAAGTAACTGGAACTGCAGGCATGTGCCACTAAAATCTTTTTAATTTTTAATTTATTTGTTTTTATTTTTTGAGTTGGGGTCTCCCTCTGTTGCGCAGGTTGGAGTTCAGTGGTATGATCATAGTTTACTGCAGCCTCAAACTACTGGGTTATGGGGTCCTCCTGCCTCAGCATCCTGGGTAGCTGATTATAGCCTCGAGCCACTGTGCTAGGCATTGCAACATAGGCAGCAAAGTTTGAGCAAACAATCAATTAAACAAGCAACTGAAAAATTTGATCTGCAGGGACACATTGTTGAACTGATCCCTCATTTCATTAAATACACCGGCTGTGAGGTACCATCCACCCATGAGGCACCACCCACCCATAGGGGTTGGTGACAGGAGGAACATTCAGTAGCCACAGATAATAAATGACCAGTTACGCTGCTTCAGGAAGTCAGTAGCTGGTAGGTTTGAAGCGTTGACAAGAGGCTGTAGTGTATACTGAAATAAACATTCAATCCCTTGGGAGAAGAAAAAAAAATGAAAATTTTCTCAAAAATAAAAGCACTAAGCTGGGCACGGTAGCTCACGCCTGTAATCCCAGCACTTTGGGAGTGGCGAGAGATTGCCTGAGCTCAGGGGTTTGAGACCAGCCTGAGCAACAAGCCGAGACCTTGTCTCTACAATAAATCAAAAAGTCAGCCGGACATGGTGGCACATGCCTGTGGTTCCACCTACTTGAAAGGCTGAGGTGGAAGGATCACCTGAGCTCAGTAGGTCGAGGCTGTGGTGGCCATGATCATGCCACTTCACTCCAGCCTGGGTGACAGAGTGAGACTCTGACTCAAAAAAATAAAAAAATGTTTAAAAATGTTTAAAAAAGCACTAAAAAAATTAAATTTGAATTTGACCTGCAGGGGTTGATCACAATTGAGAAATGTGGCCCACAGGGAGAAATTATCCAATTGCTCTGTGCTCCCTCCATGCTACTATTTATGAAACGTTTATGACCATGGTTAGGAGGTGGGAGTAGGGTGCAGAGATTCATATTCAGTTGCTAGGAGGCCCCAGAATTGTGCATTAAGAAGAAAAAAAAATGTCTTTCCAGGACGGTTGTGGTGGCTCATGCCTATAATCCCAGCACTTTTAGAGGCCGAGGATGGGAGGACTGCTTGAGCCCAGGAGTTCAAGACAAGCCTAAGCAGCATGGCGAGACTTTGTCTCGACAAAAAAAAAATTAATAAAAATTAAAAAATTAACTAGGTGTGGTGACACGTGCCTGTGGTCCCAGCTACTCAGTAGGCTAAGGTGGAAGGATCTCCCGAGCCCAGGAGGTCGAGGCTGCAGTGAGCTGTGATTGTGCTCACCAGAGCTAGACACTGTCTTTAAAAAGAACCAGACACTTTCTGTTAATCTTACATTTTGATTTTGATTTTAGTATGTTTTAGTATAACTCTCCAGAGATGAATTCTTCAACTGAATATATCTGAGAGACAAATAGTTCAATTCATCCAGGAGTGCTGCCTGCTCCTCTGATCATCTGGGAGTTGGGACAAATGTCCCCTTAGACATTGTTGCCCTAAGGCTTACTTTACCCTACGAGGACCCACCCTGGTGAGGAGCAGAAGCCAAGTCTACACCCCATGTTCCTGATTCTCCCCCCGGGTCGGCTTGTTCCCACAGAGGAGGGGACAACTGGTGCTGCAATGGTCAGGTCAGCCCCTTTCTCCATGATCTAGGAGTGCCGCTTCGGGGCGGGGGACTCAGTGGGAGGAGGCCTCTGCTTCTCCACACAAAGTGCAGCAGTGCAGAATGTCTCAGTCTTGGAACATGTTTTGTAATGTCACCCAAAGAGGAACTTGTTTTCATTCTGTATCTTCCCTCCCCCTAGTTTTTAAATTTAGAAAACTTTCAAACCTGCAGAAAAGTTGTAACAGTACAATGGACGCTTTTCAACTACATTTACCAGTTGTTAACATTTTGCTACGTTTTTCTTTCTTCCTCCCTGCTTTTTATTTTCCTGAATCATCTGAAAGTAGTTGCAGACATCAGCTGTATTTTCCACCCAAGAGAGAATAATTGTCGTAATAATCACAATACCATTGTCACCGCTAAGAAAATTAACACTAGTAACACTACCTTCTATCTCATATGCAGCTCATGTCCAAGGGCTCCCTCTTGTCCCCCAAATGTCTGTATAACTCTTTTTTTTTTTTGAGTTGGAGTCTCACTCTGTCGCCCAGACTGGAGTGCAGTGGCCGCTCCCGGCCACCGCAGCCTCGACCTGCTGAGCTCCGGCGATCCTTCCACCTCAGCCTTCCGAGTAGCCAGAATTACAGGCATGTGCTACCACGCCCGGCTGATTTTTTTTTTTTTTTTTTTTTTTGATTTATTGTAGAGATGAGGTCTGGCTGCCCAGGCGGGTCTCGAACCCGCGGGCTCAGGCAATCCACTCACCTCAGCCTCCCAAAGGCGCGGGATTACAGGCTGAGCCACCGAGCCCGGCTTGTATAACTCTTACACATCTGTTTAGCAGGTATAACAACTTCCTCTCATCCAGGATCTAATCACAATTCAGGCATTTGGTGGTTAAATCTCTTTAGCCGCTTTTCATCCATAGGACCTGACCTCTGTTATTTTTGTTTTGTTTTGTTTTCATGCCCTTGATTTTTGAGGAGTCCAGGCCAGTATATTGCATAATGTCCTGAGTATGCCTGATTTGTACCTCGTGCTTAGATTCAGGCAATGTTTTCACAGGTGTGACTGTGTCTTTCTCACTGTTTGAACGGAAGGCACAGAATTCTCATCGTGTTCCCCACTGGGGAGCCAAGTTTGATTGCTTGGTTAGACAGAGGATGGGAGCTTTCCAGATCTCTCCATTGTAAGGAGACATTTCTGTGTATCATAGCTAAGTAGTTTGCGGGGTGATAGTATTCCAGTGATTTCAGCATGTGTTGTGATCCTTGTTGGAATTAATTGTTACACTGGAGACTGCAAAGTGGTGATTTTCTGGCTTTATTGTTAATTATGGATAATTCTACATTAATTAGCACCAATTCTTCTGTTAAAAAAGGAGTTCCTTCCTCCTCTTTTTAAAAAAATAGACATAGTATGTTATAGTTCGTAGTTGACATCATTCTTTTTGATGCTTGAATTTCACAAGTTTGGCTAGGGAATTCCGTTCCATTCCAACAGGGTCTTCTATGCCGGGCTTTGACATCACTGTTTCATCTTGGAGCACTCCCTTGCTTCTTGGCATGACAAAATCAACCTTTTCTTTTAGGAGTTCTAGTTCCTTTTAGGGGGCATTGATCTTTAGAAACCAAGTGTAAACCGGGCTCGGTGGCTCAGCCTGAAATCCTGCTCCTTGGGAGGCTGAGGTGAGTGGATTGCTTGAGCCCGCGGGTTCGAGAACCGCCTGGGCGAGTTGGCAAGACCTCATCTCTACAATAAATCAAAAATTAACCGGGCGTGGTAGCGCCCGCCTGTAGTTCCAGCTACTCGGAAGGTTGAGCGGGGAGGATGGCCAAAGACCAGCAGGCCGAGGCTGCGGTGGCCGGGA